AATCTCATGCACCGGGCCTCTAGTTTTAAAATAAGAGAAGAACATTGATATTCAAAATGTTTAAAATGTTTAAATGTTTAAAAATTTCCTTCATGTACATCTATTGCATTTTGTATGTCATTCCAGGACAGGAAATAAATGAGAGACTATATAAAACTTTAAAAATTTAGGACACACAGGACTAGCATATAGTTGATTCATGGCTATGATTTAGTTTAGTGGAGGGTGCAAAGTAAAATCAGTAAAGAGAAAAGGCACATGAGGTGATGTCTGGAGGAAACCAGGTGCAAGTTTCCAAGAGTCCTCTGCTAGTGGAGTCACCCAGGATGCACTTTATTATTCTAGCAGTGAATTGTGACAACACATGTGAAGTTCATTAGAGACTAAATGTCCAGGGTTTTAGTTGGGGGCTGGTCACATAGTTACCCTCTCTATAGCTTGTATCAGAATTCCAGACTCCCAGAGGGAAAGAGGTATTCAAAATAAACTGCACTGTTGCGCAAACAGTTTAGGCACAGGGAACCACTCCTATCAGGGAATGATGGGAAGACCCTTCCCAAAATACAAGTTCTCAGATGCCAGCTAATGGCCAACCTTGCAAGCATGCCATATTAACTCTTTTCTGCACACTGTGTCACTTTAGTATCTATTTACAGAGTAGTTTGTCATGGGAATTTAATTCCTGGATGTTCAATATAAGAATCTCTTGACTGATTTCTTATTGGTTTCCATTTAAAAAAAAATGTTTTATTGATTTTTTACAGAGAGGAAGGGAGAGGGATAGAGAGTTGGAAACATAAATGAGAGAGAAACATCAATCAACTGCCTCCTGCACACCTCCTACTGGGGTTGTGCCTGCAATCATGGTACATGCCCTTGACCGGAATCGAACCTGCGACCTTTCAGTCTGCAGGCCAATGCTCTATCCACTGAGCCAAACCAGTTAGGGCGGTTTGCATTTTTTAGTTCTGACTTTGATACTATTTTTTCATCCATTCTTATGACTAGGAAATAGACTCTTGTGTCTATTTTATTTCAGAGTAACATGTATACTAATGATTAGATATTTTCTATTTTAACTTTAATAAAATGTGTTAGGCATATATGTAATTATATGAAGCATTTAAATTCTGCTTATTTTGACAAGCCATTTAATTTGTTCAATTTTACATTGCCTTTAAACATTTTTTAAGTTCTGTTTTTTAATTGACCACTCTTTTTTCCTTGACTCAATTAGATTTACATATATGAACCTCTTTTATCTTTCATTTTGATTAACTCCCTGTTTTCCTTTTTCATTATTAATTTTTTCTGAAGATATTAATCTGAATCTGATGTTTAGTTTATACCAAGAAAGCAAGTATGAATTTGTTAATATATTTCTTAAGTAGTAGCATATAGATTTATTAGAGAATTAAGACTTTGCATTTTATGACTTTACAAACCTATGTAATCAATAATCTTGACACCTTTTTATTTTTGCTTTTCATGATGATACCACTTTGGTCTTCATTGCATACTTACGAAATTTTAGAAGTGATAGTTTATTTTTAACATTAAACTTTCCCTTTTTAGAATTGCTATTAACTTGAGAGTTTTTGTTTTCAGGGTTAGGATTAAGTGGTATTCATATGGTGGAAAACTTTGAAAAGGAGGCAAGGGAAAAACCTATAAACCTCAGGTAGTCTGTTGGTAAGAGAAATCTTTTCATTCATAGATTCATTAAATGTTTATTTGTAGCAGTGTTCTAGATGCCATGAGGGACACATAATGGGGACAAAAGTATCATTTCACTCTGAATTTGTATAAAAGTTATTTGTTTCACTCATAGAATGTCCTTAAGGACATATTATATACAGGTATTCTATAAATAGAAAAAATAATAATTGTATATGTATCACATATGTTCATATATGTGGATTATAGAATAACTTAATATAAATTTGGAGTGAAGTAATTTCAGTTCCAATTGGAGAGATGAAGGAAAGCAAACTGAAGGAAATGACAGAGTTTTTAAGGGTGAATAAGGAGTTCAGTAGTAAGTATTGGGCAGGACAAGCGTATTTTAGGGAGAGGAAATGCCTTTGTCATTAGTAGAAAGATAAGGTAGAACTAGGTATGTCTTATAAAAAATTGTAAGTAGTATAGATTGACCAGAGTAAGAGGTACTTGAGTGCATTGTCTTCTAGACTTGACAGGTTATGTTTTATTTGGTAGGCTTTGAGAACCCTTGAAAACAGGTAAGCCAAGGGATGAATATGATTAGGATGAGAGACAGTCATGAGGCAGTTAGAACAAAAATTAAGGCAAAGTATCAAGGAAGTAAAAAATAATCAAGGATGAACTTGGTAATTCTTTCAAACTGTGGAGAGATCAGAATGAATACTTTGAGAGAATATCATTGATATTTGAATATTCTGGGAAAGAAAATTTGAATAGACTGGGAGCAGACCCATAATTTAAGGGATAAGAATGGTAGGTAAAAAAGAGAATGTGCTGGGAATAGACTGTTTTTCTTCTTCTTTTTTTTAATTTTATTGATTTCAGAGAAGAAGGGAGAGAGAAAGAGAAATAGAAACATCAATGATGAGAGAGAATCATTGATTGGCTGCCTTCTGTGCACCCCCTACTGGGGATCGAGCCCACACCCCAGGTATGTGCCCTTGACCAGAATTGACCCGCAAGGGAGAGGTATAGAGAGATAGAAACATCAGTGAGAGAGAAACATCATCCATCGGCTGCCTCTGTCATGTCCCCCCTACTGGCTCTTTATTTGGTACATGGGTATCATTTGTGTTAAGACATGAGAAATTATTCTTGTTTTGTCATCTCCTCTATTGTATCTTCTGGGGTCTTCACTGGGAACTTTGTAAACTCTAGTGGACCTTAAACAGCCCGTTTTAGATGCAAGAGTAGTTTTTTAAGGAGAAAATATGCTAAAAAGCTAAGAAATTATGTTGCTTTTATACTAAGCAAGTATTTTTCTCCTTTTATGATTCATAAATCTTGATACCTATATGCAATTTTAAGAACTTAGATAAAATTGCCCTAGCCGGCTTTGCTCAGTGGATAGAGCGTCAGCCTGCGGACTGAAGGGTCCCAGGTTCGATTCCGGCCAAGGGCACATGCCTGGGTTGCGGGCTTGTTCCCCAGTGGGGGGTGTGCAGGAGGCAGCCGATCAGTGATTCTCTCTCATCATTGATGTTTCTGTCTCTCTCTCCTTCTCCCTTCCTCTCTGAAATCAATAAAGAAATATATATTTTTTTTAAAAAAAGAACTAAAAGTAAATAAGATGACCTATATATCTGTATAATTCATCATACACACTTTGAATAATTATAAAGGCAGTGTTTATTAAAATACATTTCATTTTCAAAATTGAGCTATCAGCTGTTAAAGTGTGTATATCTTTTTTGGAACACCCTGTATATATCATCATATATTTTTATATATATCATTGGGAAATGTCTGGAGGGCATTGTTCATATTGACCTTCATTCAACTTTTCATTTCTGATTTTCTACATTTAAAATTTGAAGATTATGCTTTCTAAAACATTCATTTATTTCATTACTTCAATAAAAACACTGATTGAGTATCTGTTTCATGTCAGAAGGTGTAACTTTGTCTTAAGCCTTAGTGCATGCATGTGTGTATGTGTGTGTGTGTGTGCGCGCACACCCGTGTGTATAGAGAGAGAAAGAGAGAGAAGCAAAGAGACTGATAAATTATGAGTATGAATACTGTGTAAAATGAGTCCCAAAGATAATTTTAAGTAAACTTTGCTTATTATTTTTAAAACAGTTCCGAAAGCATGGTTTTTTAAGAAACTAAAATATGGAGTTTCAAAAAAAAATTTTTCCCTACAGGTGGGAAGGAGAAACCAAAAACAAATGTAGAAGACTTACAAATTAAAAAGGTAAAGAAGAAAAAGAAAAAGAAACACAAAGAGAATGAAAAACGGAAGCATCCAAAAATGTATAGCAAATCTATTCAAACGATCTGCTCAGGATTGCTATCTGATGAAGATCAAGAAGCCAAAGGTATCCTAAATGATAACATAAAGGATTATGGTGGAAAGAATTTGGATACCAAGAACTATGGTTCCAAACTTCCAGAGAACAGTGAGTTTCCATTTGTCTCATTAAAGGAGCCACGGGTTCAGAATAATCTCAGAAGGTTGGACACTTTGGAGTTCAAACAGCTCATTCATATTGAGCACCAGCCCAATGGAGGTGCATCAGTTATCCATGCCTACAGTAATGAACTCACTCACCTGTCTCCTGTGGAGATGGCGAGGTTTGCAGAAGAGTTTGTGGGTCTAGTATTCAGTGAAAATGAAAACTCTGCAGCTTTCTATGTAATGGGTATTGTTCATGGGGCAGCTGCTTATTTACCTGACTTTTTAGACTACTTTTCATTTAATTTTCCCAATTCGCCAGTGAAAATGGAGATTTTGGGAAAGAAGGATATAGAGACAACAACTATGTCCAATTTTCATGCTCAGGTAAGAGGTTTTTAGTTGTTTTTTTTTAAAAAAGACACTTTTAATTATGTTTTAGACAAGTTTCTGTTCTTTGTTTCTCATTTCGCTATAGGTTTGAAATAAAAAGGTAAGACTATATATGAAATGAAACCTCTTGGGAATGTTAAGAATAAAATGTGTTCTCAAATGTGAACATCAGAATTTAAATTGGTTTCTACTTATTTTTTTTTTTTAAGGTAATTTATGAAATAATTAAGATTCTGTTGTTTTCTTTTGCAAGGATTTACCTTGGATATGAAATGAATTCAGCCATGTATTTTCCATTCCTTACAACAAACAGTTTTCTTATCTGAAAATCACCTAAAATTATCTTCTTGGTTTATGTGACAATGCCTTAAAAGTACTTAGTATTGGATCCATCACATAGTAGATACTGAATAAATTTTGACTATTAAATATGTTGTGGAACAAGAGGATCATTAGTTAATTGTGTGATTATGTGAGAATATTTGTATATATTGAGCTAATTTTCATTTCCTACCCTTCTCTAAGGTGATTATACAGGCTGTTCCCCCCAAAATGTATACAGACTTTAGCTGATAGCTGTTGAAATGAAATGAAATTTTCATAGACACTGAAAATGAAATGTATTTTAATAAACACTACCTTTATAATATTCGAAGTCTGTGTATACTTTTTTGGGGGATACCCTATATATTATTTTATTCTATTTTTAAAAAAATATATATTTTATTGATTTTAGAGAGGAAGGGAGGGGGAGAGAGAGATAGAAACATCAATGATGAGAGAGAATCATTGATTGGCTGCCTCCTGCACGCCCCCTCGGGATCAAACCCGCAACCCAGGCATGTGCCCTTGGCCGGAATCGAACCTGGGACTCTTCAGTCCGCAGGCTAACGCTCTATCCATTGAGCCAAACCAGCGAGGGCCTATATATTATTTTAGAAAGCAGAGGCAGAATGAAGTTTGCTGGCTTTTGAAAGAGAATGTGGGCCCATTTAAAAGGCCAGTGCTGCCCTGGCCATGGTGGCTCAGTTGGTTGAGCATTGTAACATGCGCCGAGAGGTAGCCAGTTCGATCCCCAGTCAGGGCACGTGCATGTGTTCCAGGCTCGATCTCCCAATTTTGCTCGCTCTCATCAATGTTTCTCTCTCTCTCTCTTCCTCTCCCTTCCTCTCTCTCTCAAATCAATAAAATAATTTAAAAAAGAAGGCCGGTGCTGTATTCTCTCACTCAGATCAAGGACTGCTTAGGTCAAGGAAATCAGCCAATTTTCACATTTATTGGTGCTAAAATGTCTGATTTTCTAAGTAATAATTGACATCATTCTAGTTTGGAAGGAGGAAAAATTAAAAAAAAGTTTCAAAAGTATCTCAGTGATCATCTATCCCAACCTTTCTCAACTTACATTAAGAAACAAACATAGATAGGCGTAACTTACTCTTTTAAGGTTGGCAGCAGTGCCAGGAATAGATCAAAATCTCCTTAGTCTTCATCCAGGACTCTTTTCCTTATTCTGAGTATAAATATATATGTGATATGTGTTCATGTTATAGTCTCCACCTGTGATAGCCTGGATAGTCTGTGATAGTCCAGATGTCCACTTCACACCTACCAAACCTCCTGCTTCCACAGTATATTTGGTGTATATTCTGAAGAATATGGTAATATTTAAAGTTTTAATGTATATGTATGGGAATTACTAATATAATATGTTTGAGAATGAGAGTTTATATATATTTTTAGAGCCCTATCATTTTATAGAATTCCAGAATAAATAGTAACTTGTCTGAGATTATATTAAAGTTTATTGGTAAAACCAGACTGGCATCTAGTAATAGCGTCTACTATTTCTGGAGTATTGACTGTGTCAAGAACTGCTGTAGCACTTCATATATAATAACTTATTCAATCTTGATTACAATCTAATTTTAGCAGTAGGAGACAGATACACTGAGAGAAGAAATAACTTGTCCGAAGTCCTTCAGTACTCTCTCATTTATTATATGTCTGCTAGGGTTTTGTCAGCTTTTGTACGAGGCCTTTTGACTTCCAGTCCCATTTGTTTCCACCATATTACAAACTTTCTCACTGTCATACTATGCAAGTTTATTTTAGTCATCTTTTAAATGTCATAATTATTATTTGTAAAAATATATTTTTATTGATTTCAAAGAGGAAGGGAGAGAGATAGAAACATCAGTGGTGAGAGAGAATCATTGATTGGCACACGCCACACTGAAAATTGAGCCCGCAACCTGGGCATGTGCCCTGACCAGGAATTGAACCATGACCTCCTGGTTCATAGGTGAACACCCAACCACTGAGGCACACCGGCCAGGCTAAATGTCATAATTCTTAGATTTGCTTCCCAAATTCTCTTTCAAGGTTAGGAATTATTATATTTTTATTAAATGATAAGAATATTCATCTTAACTATGTAGTAAGTACAGTATGAAAACTGATTTTTCCTTTTTTTTTTTGTTTTGTTAATTCTTACCTGAGGTTATTTTTTCCATTGATTTTTAGAGAGAGTGGAAGGGAACGAGGGCGGGAGAGGGAGGAGTGTAGTGAGTTGTATCTGGATTAGTGTGAGTAGCTGAATGAACTCTGTTATGATGTGGATGGAAATGGAAGGAGTATAGTCCTGGTTACGCCGTTTATCACCCATGACTTTGAATAGCTACTTAAAGTCCTTACGTCTCAGTTTCCTCACCTACAAAATAATGCTAATGATGATATTACTCAATTGAAAGAGTTGTGGTTAGAAATGTTCTATAGAATAAAGCAGGTTTTACAAAGAGTTGTTATATTGACTTAGTGCAATATTACAACAGCTTTCCATTTTGTTGAATGGGTGATGACTAGTTTCTGACCGAAGACTCTTTAAGAGTATGTTAATTGATGGTAGGGAGTTCAACAGGTACTCATGATAAAAAATTACCATAAATACTTCATATGCAGATACAAAGTTGATTAAATTGTGGTATGTACACACAATGAAATATCCATCCATAAAAAGGAATATAATACTGCTACTGCTACTGTGTGGATGAACCTTGAAACATTACATGAAAGAAACCAGTCACAGAAAGTCACATGTTGTATGATTCCATTTATATGAAATATGCACAATAGGTAAATTAGAACCAGAAAGTAAATTGGTGATTGGGAAGGGGGAAAAGGGGAGTAACTGCTTAATGGGTGTGAGTTTTGTGGGGTTTTTTTAATTGAGATGGTTGATATAACATTATATTAATTTTAAGTTGCAACATAATGATTTGATATATGTATATGTTGTAAAATGATTACCACAAAGTTTAGTTAATACATATCACCACACATAGTTACAAACTTTTTTTCTTGTGATGAGAAATTTTAATCTCTGATCTCTTAGCAACTTTCATAGATACAATACAGTGTTGTTAGTAGTCACCATGTTGAACCAGACATCCCTGTGACTTATTTATCTAATAAGAAGTTTGTACCCTTGACTGCCTTTACCCTTTTCACTCCCCCTTCTGACAAACATCAGTTCTCTGTATCTGTGAGTTCAGTTTTTTTTTAAGATTCTACATATAAGTGAGGTCATGTAGTATTTCTCTTTCTCTGACTTTTTAAAGAAAATATATTTATTATTGTTTTCAGAGAGGAAGGGAGAGGGAGAGAGAGATAGAAACATCAGTGATGATAGAGAATCATTGATTGGCTGCCTCCTGCACACCCCCTATTGGGGATCAAGCCCACAACCCAGGCATGTGCCCTTGACCGGAATTGAACCTGGGACCTTTCAGTCCAAAGGCCTATGCTCTATCCATTGAGCCAAACTGGCTAGGGCTCTCTGATTTTTTTGACTTAGTGTAATGCCCTTGAGGTCCATCCATCTTCTTGCAAAAAGAACTTATTATTTATGGCTAAATAATACCCCCCCCCCCCCCCCCCCCCCATTTGTTTCCACCATATTACAAACTTTCTCACTGTCATACTATGCAAGTTTATTTTAGTCATCTTTTAAATGTCATAATTATTATTTGTAAAAATATATTTTTATTGATTTCAAAGAGGAAGGGAGAGAGATAGAAACATCAGGGGTGAGAGAGAATCATTGATTGGCACACGCCACACTGAAAATTGAGCCCGCAACCTGGGCATGTGCCCTGACCAGGAATTGAACCATGACCTCCTGGTTCATAGGTGAACACCCAACCACTGAGGCACACCGGCCAGGCTAAATGTCATAATTCTTAGATTTGCTTCCCAAATTCTCTTTCAAGGTTAGGAATTATTATATTTTTATTAAATGATAAGAATATTCATCTTAACTATGTAGTAAGTACAGTATGAAAACTGATTTTTCCTTTTTTTTTTTGTTTTGTTAATTCTTACCTGAGGTTATTTTTTCCATTGATTTTTAGAGAGAGTGGAAGGGAACGAGGGCGGGAGAGGGAGGAGTGTAGTGAGTTGTATCTGGATTAGTGTGAGTAGCTGAATGAACTCTGTTATGATGTGGATGGAAATGGAAGGAGTATAGTCCTGGTTACGCCGTTTATCACCCATGACTTTGAATAGCTACTTAAAGTCCTTACGTCTCAGTTTCCTCACCTACAAAATAATGCTAATGATGATATTACTCAATTGAAAGAGTTGTGGTTAGAAATGTTCTATAGAATAAAGCAGGTTTTACAAAGAGTTGTTATATTGACTTAGTGCAATATTACAACAGCTTTCCATTTTGTTGAATGGGTGATGACTAGTTTCTGACCGAAGACTCTTTAAGAGTATGTTAATTGATGGTAGGGAGTTCAACAGGTACTCATGATAAAAAATTACCATAAATACTTCATATGCAGATACAAAGTTGATTAAATTGTGGTATGTACACACAATGAAATATCCATCCATAAAAAGGAATATAATACTGCTACTGCTACTGTGTGGATGAACCTTGAAACATTACATGAAAGAAACCAGTCACAGAAAGTCACATGTTGTATGATTCCATTTATATGAAATATGCACAATAGGTAAATTAGAACCAGAAAGTAAATTGGTGATTGGGAAGGGGGAAAAGGGGAGTAACTGCTTAATGGGTGTGAGTTTTGTGGGGTTTTTTTAATTGAGATGGTTGATATAACATTATATTAATTTTAAGTTGCAACATAATGATTTGATATATGTATATGTTGTAAAATGATTACCACAAAGTTTAGTTAATACATATCACCACACATAGTTACAAACTTTTTTTCTTGTGATGAGAAATTTTAATCTCTGATCTCTTAGCAACTTTCATAGATACAATACAGTGTTGTTAGTAGTCACCATGTTGAACCAGACATCCCTGTGACTTATTTATCTAATAAGAAGTTTGTACCCTTGACTGCCTTTACCCTTTTCACTCCCCCTTCTGACAAACATCAGTTCTCTGTATCTGTGAGTTCAGTTTTTTTTTAAGATTCTACATATAAGTGAGGTCATGTAGTATTTCTCTTTCTCTGACTTTTTAAAGAAAATATATTTATTATTGTTTTCAGAGAGGAAGGGAGAGGGAGAGAGAGATAGAAACATCAGTGATGATAGAGAATCATTGATTGGCTGCCTCCTGCACACCCCCTATTGGGGATCAAGCCCACAACCCAGGCATGTGCCCTTGACCGGAATTGAACCTGGGACCTTTCAGTCCAAAGGCCTATGCTCTATCCATTGAGCCAAACTGGCTAGGGCTCTCTGACTTTTTTGACTTAGTGTAATGCCCTTGAGGTCCATCCATCTTCTTGCAAAAAGAACTTATTATTTATGGCTAAATAATACCCCCCCCCCCCCCCCCCCCCGGGGGGGGTGTGGGGGGGGGTGTGTGTTCTCCATTCATTCATCAGCTGATGCTTGGGTTGTTTCTGTTTCTATGTCTTGGCTATTGTAAATAATGCTTCAGTCAACATGGCAGTTGCATATATCTTTTCAAGGCAGTGACTTTGTTTTCTTTGGATAAATACCCAGAAGTGGAATTGCAGGATCATATGGTAGTTCTATTTTTCATTTAAAATAAAATAACATTTTAAAGATTTTAAAAACCAATTTTTAAAAATAACCTTTTTATTGAAGTATAATATGTACACAAAATGCACACAAATGTATAACTTGAGGAATCTTTACAAAGTGAACACATTCATGATTTTTAAAAGTAGAGTATCATTAGTATCCAGAGCCCTCCCCAACCCCTCTTTATCACCATTCTGCCCCACCCCTGCCCCCTACCACCACATAATTAAACACCCGGGTTATCACTCTTCTAACTTGGAACACCAAAAATAAATTGTGCCTTTTTTGAACTTTGATATAATAGAATCAAATAGTATGTACATTGTCATGTGTGGCTTCTTACCTTCAGCATTATATTTGTGAGATTCATTCATCTTGTGTGTAGCAACAGTTTGTTTTCCCATTGCTGTAAGGTATTCCATTGTATGAATATGCCATGTTTTATTTATCCTTGTTTATTATGGGTGGATATTTGAGTTCTTCCCAGTTTGGGGCTGTTATAATTGTAGCAGCTATGAATATTTTTGTACATGTGTTTTGGTGAACATATGTATTTGTTTCTGTTGGATATAAATGTAATATTGGAATTTCAGGGTCAAAAGGTATGCAGATGTTCAGCTTTACC